ATTTAATAAAAAAACCGATGTTGAAAAGATTTTATTCTTTAAATGTTTTTTATACATAAGATATATATTAAAAAAATACATTTAAATTTAGTAATTTATAATGAAAAATAAAAGTAAATAATTAAATAATAAAATATAATCTTTATAATATCAAAAAGGCCGTACGAAAAAAATGATTTTAAGAAATGATAAGTCTTTCAGTACATAAATTATAAAAGTTTCTTATATGATCAATTCTGATAAAAAAATATAAGAAATTCTTTTTCCAATTGAAAGAGTATCCAAAGTCTTAGTTACGCCTATCTTTTGAGTAGTTTGTTTGTTTAGTTTGATCTAAAGTTGCTGTTGTTCCTTCTGTTTTTCATTTTGTCGCCACCGCCGTTGCTGCATAGACTAAAAATCGCATTCGATCATTTATGGGATTTTATTTGGCGCGTCAGTGAATGTTGCTAAGCAATTTATTTATGACATTTTTTGCTGGCCAGCTTGGGTTGGTTCGGTTCGGTTCGGTTAGCTGGACGTCGATGTGGATGTGGATGTGGCTCCGATGGATTCGTGCAACAATTTCTGCAACGCAACGAAATAGCTGCAAAGGCACAACAGCCAAAGTCAAAGTCAAAGTCAGTTGCAAGTTCCATATTCATCAGATGCGACACTCTTCATTCTTGGTGTTTTGCCGTCTTGTTGCTCGATTCTTTGGCTTGTCTTCGGGTTTTTCGTCTCCAACTTTTTCTATCGAAAAGCAAACTGGATTTCGTCTTAAATGCTCCTCCAGTTGCAGTTGCAGTTGCTGTTGATTTTGCCATTGCATTTTAATTAAGTGCATTTTAATGAGGCATCATCGCCGGCCGCCGATGCGACTTTTGTACATCATCAATTACACAAACGCATTTTAAATGGGCTGCCAACTATGTTTGTTGGCTGGGAACTATGCGGCTGCGATTTGCGATTCAGTTTCCCCCTGTTTTATTTTGTATTTTTTTCAGGTAATTATTAAGCTTATTTAGATTAGTCTCCGCTCTTGTGGCTTCGGGCTGTCTATTGCGGTTGCCGCCTTTATGAAATTGATGTGAAAAAAATCAACTAAAAGTGTTTGTTTTAATTCGATTTGAGTCTGCCGGCGCTCAGGAAGGATGTGTTTGCATCGTCCTGTTTGCTAATGCACGCAAATGGAGAGTCCTAGTTTGGTTTACTCGGGGAAACTATACGTTCATTTGCCGGTCATATTAGCCTTATAAGACAGTGCTTAAAAATATGAATTTGATTTTTCTTGAAAATCTTAAAAATCTTTTAAAAGGACAAACATTTGTGGTATTTTGGTGATTTAACCATACAACTTTTGGGAATTTTCTAGAAGATTGTATGTAAATCCCAAAATCATGTGTAAAATGTATTTTTAATATTTTAATTAAAAAAAATACAATAAAATGTATTTTTAATATTTTAATTAAAAAAAATACCATCAAATGTAGAAAAATTTATCTTAAATTTCACAAATATATATATTTGCTTTGGCTATCGATTGACATGGAAGTGCATCTGAAGATCCCTTACGCCGAACATTCCACATGTTCCTTGCCCACTCATTCACCTGCTCTGCCATCTCATTAAACCCATACCCATCTTTTCGACCTCCTCTTCCCTGCGACCTGTTCAAAAACTTTTTCCATTTTTTCAAATTGCGTAATTTTCATTAGTTTGCTGCATTTGCAGACAAATTAAGAGCCTCTGCTGCTGCTCTGTCCTGCCCAGGACCCTTCACATGTCCTCCCCGTCCAAAGTGCGTATCTGTGAGATACGCATATGCAAATAGCTGCCTGCAGGACCACCCCGATGCAATGTGGTTTTTCAATTTCTCTCTGGGCGTTTTTTTTCAGCCTTTTTGTACGCAAATAATTGTGAATTTTTTTCCCTCATCCATTTTTGTTGGCCTGCTGCGGCAGGTTATTGTTTGGTTTGGTTGCAAATCCTCTTTCTTTTTTCTATGCCCGAGTGTACATATTTTTTATTTTTAATTAAAAGCGGAAGTAAAAGCTGGGGGGCATGCCCATTGCGGGGGATTCTCTGGTTTAGGATTGGTTTCAGTTCGGTTCGGTTGGGTTAGGTTGGGTTTGTTTTGGTTTGGCGACTTGTCAAGTGTGCGTGTGGGTGCGTTTGCCGGGCACTTTGGCCCGTTCATTTCGCTGTGTAGTGTTTTGCTAACAATGCAAATTTCAGGCCATTGTTGCAGCCCCCTGAATCTCCCAATCCAAAACCCACCCCCTCCCCTTGACACGCACACACTGGCAAACGCATCAAATCATCAGCGGCGATTTCAGACAGTCATCAGATGAAATGTCAAATGCGTTTCCCGCTCCACACGGCCAAGTGGGCGAGTGTAAACAGATACTGGCTACTGGTAATGCCTGCTAACTGGTGGCTGCCACCGCTTAGAGCGGCACAAACTAAACCAAACTCAACGACAATAAAAACATGGCTACAATTCACCAGCTGAAGAGTTTTTCAAATAACGAAAAAAAATGTACAAGAACTCTGGAAAGTGGGGGAGTGGCAGCGGAAAAAGGGAAAAAGTCAGGCGAAAAAAAAGAATCGAGAAAATTAAAACAAAACAAACAGCAAACGCATCCTCAGCGTCATCGGCCCTTCATGCACATGAAAAATAAATTAATATCAGTTAAGAGTTATGGGGCACTTAATATTTTTAGATTGTAATAATTGCTTAATAACGAATATAAAAATAATATAAAAAACATAAAAGGCTTCAGAAATTATACATTTTCTAGTAATTTTCTTTTTTTTTTGAACCCAACTCCCGAAAATAATTATAGATAAAAATTCAATGGCAGAACTTAATAGATTTTCAAATTTTGCTAAGATCCGTATTTTTTTAAATTTATACAAAAACGTTCAGTATTAAAGTTAATATATTTATTCCTGAAAACCTCATCCATTTTCAGCAGTTAAGTTAAAAGTTCCCAAAAAAAGTTAATCTTTGATAATAATGTTTAAATTACCCTAAAAACCTCTCAGTGTAGTCCTGAATCCTGCATCATCCTTTGGCCGTTATGCCCTGCTTTGCCTGCTCTGTTCCACGCATGAAGAGATTTCGGTTTAGCTTTTGATTGACGAACTTGGCTCGTTGTTTGTCCCTCTTCCTGTAGCCGCCCCTCCCCTCCCACTCGTTGTCCTGCCATACGCTGCCGCTTTTCACTCAAACTCATCAGCGTCAGCGACGCATTCAAATCGTTTTGATGGACCTCTCCTCTTCCCCTCGACTTCCCTATTCCATATCCCCATATCAAGCTCACGCAGTGCATCCTGGCACAAGAACAAAACAGCATCGAAAACAAAAAAAAAAAACAAGAAAAAATGGGATCGAGAAAAATGGGGGAAAAAGTGTGGAATGAGTCTGGCACAATATTTGTATTTTACGCAATTTTTACTGACGACTGCCATCATGTCTGAGTGACTGAGTTGGCTCCGTTTTCTGCTGCCTGATTTGCAAACCGATTTGCTACATTGTTCATGTCAGTCAGCGCATTGTTGATTATCAGTGCCTGGCTGGGTGGTTGTGGGTTGGACTTGATATAGCCTTTGGTTTGGGGATTGGTGATTGGGGGGTTCGGTTTGGCTGAGAACTAAGCCCCATGTTTGCCCAGCTATTCATTGTGTTTCGGTTTTTTCATTTTTTGCTGATTGAAAGTTTGTGCGACAATTGCTGCGGTAATAGGAAATGGCCCAGAGTCTAATTAAACAAAATGCTTGGTAGGCATAAATGGTGTGGATGGAATTATTGTCAGTGGGGAGAGATTATAAGTATTAATATTTCAATTATTTACAGATTTATTGAGATATTTATATTTATATGAATAGCAAAATCTCCATTACGATTATACATATTTTATAATGAAACATAATACCGTTTATTGTCTTAAATATAAAGCGTACACTAAATTTCTTATCTATATAATTTTATTTAGCAAAGGATTGAACATTTATTCCACAATATATGTTGTACTGAGAAATCCTAAAATAAGACTTGCATTTCTATCATTTATCACATTTTAAACTGGTGTGTTTTAATTATCAACTTCTCAACAATCCAATGATTTCCGCTGCAACGCCTTTTCGCAGTTAATCTGCCATAAAATATGCCAGAAACAACAGCCTCTGGGACTCTGGGCCAAATTAAATTAGCCAGCTGAAAGTTGGCCAGCTTGTGGCAATGGTAAGGATTCTGAGCCCCCTCTGCTTGGCATAAATTGTTGCCAAAAAGTTTTAAGCTGCATTTGAGGCTTGTTTTCACACCCGAACAAGTTCATCGTGGAAAGTTTCGAGTGGCGCTTGTCTTGTTTCATCTTCTCATGGCCATAATCCGTGACGTCAACTGCGGTTAGCAGGATTCTCCATGTAAATGAGACGGGCAAGCCGCAAAGTTTGGCATATTTTGCATCTGATATTTTGGCCACTTTTGGGTGCAAACTATTACCAAACTTGTTGCATGTGCTTTGTGGGGGGAGTTGGCTGAAACGAGTGCTTGTGTGCGAAATTATCGAGCTCGTTATTCGACTCATGTCCTTGTGGTGGTTTTTGGCCAACATCCTGCTGGTATTTCGGCATTTGAATGTGTTTTGATAACTGAAAACCCATTGGGGTCATTTAGAGTCGTTTACATCTAATTAGTGTGGGGGCCATTCAGGATATTAAACTGACAAGGGACTACGGAAACGGATTGCGGGAACACAGTACTTTGTTGTATAATATAATTATCTAATCTTAAATATTTAATATTATTTATTTATACAATTTATAATTTGATATAAAAGTATTTACAGAAATTACAAGCTAGTGTTTATTATATCTATTAAAAACTTCTTCATCTCACCAAAGAAAGCATGAACTTTTTAAATAACCAAATCGAAGCAATTTCACTTGCCGCATTGTAACTTTTTCCGACTGGAATGCGATTTTAGTATCAGATTCTTGCTTGCTTGCGTTAAATGACGACTCTAATGTTTGTGGCCACTTTGTATCTGAAGCTCTTGCTATTGGCCAGCTTGGACAAGACATCATTTGCCCAGGAACTCCAACTAATCGAGGGTAGAAATCTCACAAATTTTGGCAAAGCACCTGTAATCGGATGGAGAACCAATGTGTATGAATCGGAACTAAATCAGGAGGACAAGAGTCTCATAGGCTATTTATCGCTGACAAAGTTAAAGATCTATTCCGCTGACTTGGAGCTGGCACTTGGTGTCCTGTTGGCCTATGAGATAAAGGAGGAAGATGTCATCGGAGGAGAACCTCTACGAGTTATGAGGGAGTTTCTTGACAGCCTGTGCATCCTGAAACCCCTAAGCACACCAAAGAAACTTCAGTTTCTTGTAGACTTTAAGCAATTTCTGCACTGCGGCTTTCGATTTTTTGGATACGAGATACACGAATGGATCGTTGCTTACGAGGAGGAAAATGGAAAGGTCTTCACTGCCACGGACTATGTGGGATGCCACGGCTCAAAGCCGGAATTACGGGGCTACACCTGCACCCTATGGCAGCTCTTTCACTTCATGACCGTCCAGGGATCCGACCTTGAAGAGGGGTACTTCAGGCCCTACTACGAAGCTGGCGATATGATAAAGCTGATTATGAGGTTTGTCAAGAATTTCTACACCCGTTGCCCGGATTGCTGTGAGTTCTTTGTGGACATGGCAGATGAGAAGAAATACAAATGGTTTGAGTACCATGACGATGAGATCATGTGGCTGTGGGAGTTTCACAATGCCTTTAGCAGAAAATTGGCCGGCTCTGGCCAAGATCCATTCTTCAAGAAAATTGCCTTTCCCAAGAAAAAGGACTGCAATAAGTGTATCACCAAAAAGAAGAGATGGCGAAAAGATGTTATATTAAGGTACTTGAAGCACATTTACCAAAAAAAGAATCATAGCCCGTATCGACTTAATGACCAGGAAGGCGAGTCGAGAACAGTAATTCAATTTAACACTTTGCGGAATGATAGCGAGCTCTTTAGATCCTATACAACACGTAAAAAAGTAAAATGTCCGAAAAAATGAAAAACTAAAATGTATACATATATAAAGAAGCTTTTGAAAATTATAGGTTATAACCATAATTAATGTTAAAATATATTAAAATATAAAAACATAAAAATATAATATATTAAAATATATTAAATAAACATATCGAGATACCCAAATCACCACTTATACCTGGCGATAAGTTTAAGGCTCTTCTGCATCTTATAAGTTTTTTTCGCCCCTTCAATCCCTTACTCACATAGGGAGGAAAACTTTTGAATCACCTTGTTAATCATCAGTTAACAGTTAGGCAAATCACAGGAGAGCAGTTCGCGGCTGCAGTGCACAAAATTGAAAAAAAGGGCGGGGAAAGCCTTTGGGGGCTGCATTGGCTCTAAGTCCTTCACCCGAGGCCTTACCTGCTCTTTTTGGACACTGTTCCATTACCTAACCGTAATGTCGGCGAAGAATCCAGGGAGTTTTGGGCCAGGCTCCGTGTTGAGAGGACTTCTTGGGTTTGCCAAATACTTTTTCGGCTGTACGCATTGCTCGCAACACTTCCAAAAGATGTCCAAGCGGCGAAAAATAGAATCTGTGAAGAGCCATGACCAGGAGACTCTTTGGCTGTGGGAAGCCCCTACGCAGTGAATAAGCGTTTTTCTGGCGATTCCACAGAGGATCCCAAGTTCCTAAAGGTGCAGTTTCCTCTGTTATAAATCGAAGAGATGGAATTCAGCCGCGGAACTGAAATACCTAAAACGCATTTACGACCTCAAAAACGTAAGCTTTTACGGATTGCCCGTCTTTAAGCGTTCTTAGAAATTCAAAATCAAGATAATAAAAATAGAACAACATAATTTTGTTTACTGCTCCTCTGACGATGCTACCTTGAACTATTATTTTTGGTCTCATCTTTCAGTATATACATATAAATAAATATGAAATTCGTGAATTCTTTTGGGTGTACCTGGATAGAATAGCGAGTCACCAAATTAAGAAAACCTGTTTTGAGAGAAAGAGAGTTTGGTGATGGCGATGTTTATGGGGGAGGAGGCGGGGGTCTTAACAACCGGAGCAGGGCGAATCCAAATGCGGCTATAATTACCAAAGAGCCCTTGCGATTGAATCAGTTGAAGTAGCTCATTTGACTTGTGAGCACACAGTGTGAGTGAAATGGATCGGCTACTCAAGACGCTTCTGTTCGGCCTGCTGCTGCTGCTCCCCCTCCTCTCCACCGAGGTGTCTGCTTCTGCCCGGATTAATGCCCGAAAGTCGGCGAACGAGGCGAGTCTCTATAGCGATGCGGACAATGTGATTATGGTGGATATCGGATCGCTGAGGCCGGCCCTCAATAAGAACAACAGCAAGCTGGTGCAGTTCCTCAACAGCTTCTGCGGCGACTGTCAGCGCTTCGCCCCGATCTTCAAGGGTCTTTCCCGTGACCTCTACAAGTGGCGACGGCTGCTCCGGATCTATGCCGTGGACTGCGCCCAGGAGAGAAACGCGGAGCTCTGCAGGGTATTCAATATACGACAGACGCCCTCGCTGCGCTTTTTCAGTCCCGACACTCAGCGGAACGAGCAAGTCCTCGGAGCTGTCGTTCCGGGACAGGATCCCAAGTTAATCAAGTCAATGGTGGCCGAATTGGTATCCCAGAATGAGCCAATCTTTCGTCCTCTGATGCCAAAAGATGATCCAAATATTCTGTTACAAAATCTTAATGAAAGTCCCGCCCAGTTTATTGCTCTCGTTTTCCAACCACCGGATTCTAAGATTGGCAGGGATACACTGCTAGAATTGCTGCCATTCAAAGAAGTCGTCGTGAGGATCGTTGAGGATGCTCTGGTCTTTGCCAGCTTTGGACTTGAGCCATCCAATCAGAAATTGGCCATTGTTGATCGCAGTGGAAATGCACAGTATTTGGCGCCCTCTTTGGAGACCAGCGAAGCCTATGCAGCCACTGTGGGCAATTTCCTGAGGAACCTTAACTATAAGCCAGATCCACCACTACCCATTGCAGTAGCCTCGAACATCACCGAGTTCCTAGACCAGCAGAATCAAGCGATCCTTGCCGAGGTCCTCAAGCCGCCACTGAAGGTCTATCGAGCTGATTTGGAACAGGCCATCGACAAACTCCTGCATATCGAACTTCGCAAATGGTCTAATTTTGAGGGTAATAACCTGAACGCCCTAAAGAACATAATTACGATTTTGACCTACCTTAATCCCCTGAACAAGGATGGTAAACTGCTGATGAAAGATCTGCGCGATTCGCTGATTTCTTTGCCCAGTATTAAAGGGTCTGAGTTCGGGGATATGGTAGATTCGCTGGAGAAGAATCGAAAGATATTTAAGGCCAGGCGATACATTGGCTGCCTGGGATCACGTCCCTTCCTGCGGAGTTTCACCTGCTCCATGTGGACCCTGTTTCACCACTTGACCGTGCAGGCAGCCAAACCACCGAACTACTTTGCTCCGGGCTCAATTCTGATAACCATTCATGGATTTGCCAAGTACTTTTTCGGCTGCACGGATTGCTCGGAGCACTTCCAGCAAATGGCCATACGTCGCAACATGAGTTCGGTGAAGACCCACGACGAGGAGATCCTCTGGCTGTGGGAGGCCCACAACGAAGTCAATCAACGTATTGCTGGTGACTCCACCGAGGATCCCAAGTTCCCGAAGATACAGTTTCCCAGCCCAGACAATTGCCCCACCTGTCGGTACAATAACTCGGAGTGGCGGAGAGATGAAGTTCTAAAGTACTTGAAGAACATCTACGATATCAAAAACCTTAGCTTTTACGGACTACCCACCCCGCAAGGTTACGATTGATAAGGCATTCGAATTTCCTATCGAAAATAAGTTACTATTCATTTGTATAATCTCAAGAACTAATATAAAAAGGATTTTAGAAAAGATCCTTCAAGAAAATAAAACAAAAGAGTGTAACATTTACTTTAATTTCTTTGTTCTACCGATTTGAACCGGGTTGCATAACGAAAGTGGTGCAAATCTAATTACAATAAGTTTATAAGTACCTAGTGTTCGGTACGAGTGCATACTAGTAGTAAACTGATTGTGGACTTTAAGGGACCTCCAAAGGATCTAGTTCGCAAGGAAACAACTATGACCACGTCACCAAAGTTTTGGTTACTTCTGGCTTGCGTCCTTCATTTCTCCTCCGGAGTGATGTCCCAATCCAATGCCAATGTTAATCAAATCAACATCGACGGAAGCCTTATGCTTAAAGAGAAATTTCCACCCACCACGAAAGCTGTGATTCTACCTCAAGCTAAAAAGCAGTCATTGCGGGTCTACACAGGCGACATGGTCAAGGCTATCGATACGATTCTTCACGAGGTGGTACCAAATGAGCCGCTTATAACCGGAGGAAGGAAACAAGCGCTAACATCTTTTCTCGGTATCGTACAAAGGAATGCTCCACTAAACATGAACGGAAGAGAGCGATTGCTTAGGAGCTTTGCAGGGTGGGTAGAACATTCTGATCCATTGACAGGAAAGCAGTTCTCCGAAGAATTAAAGTCTAGAGAAGCAGGCATAGGAGAAATTTTTAATGCGAAGCGCTACGTTGGCTGTGCATCCTCAAAGCCAAATCAGCGGGGCTACCCATGCGCCTTGTGGCAATTGTTTCACTATATACTATTTCAAAATACGGGTGGTCCAGCGGAAACTATTCTCAGACCAGGCAACGTACTAATGATTTTTCGAGATTTCATCAAGTATTTTTATAAATGCCCGCAATGCGTTGCCAATTTCGAAGGGATAGTTGAACGCAGCCCCTTAGATTTGGAAATGCGCCATAACGAGGCGATTCTCTGGCTGTGGAAAGCGCACAACGAGATCAATAGACTCACTGCTGATCAACCCGGAGATCCCCAGTTCCCCAAAATACAGTTTCCCAGTGTGGATGAGTGTCCCAGCTGTCGGAACAACGACTCTAGCTGGCAGACTAACGAAGTGCTGAAATATTTAAAACGCATCTATCGTGATGATATCCTTTTCAACGAAAGGTGGTAGTAAAGTATTCATTGTAAGAAAGCGAATGTAAAGACAATACTTTAACGTGTGTTTTCTTACAAAAATGAAAATAATAATAGAGCAAGTTCTTCCCTTTACCTTATCTGTATTCTAAGGAACTCCAATTAAATTTCTCTATACCGGGACGATCTGGAGGGGCAATTGTCAATGTACTGGATGTAGAGTTTATAGATAGAAAACATAAAAGAAACCAATGAGAATGAGGATAATTATCAGATATCCGTTACTAAGATAGAGGAAGTGCGAGGGAGATGGATGCAAGCAGCCAAGTGACTGTTTGAACGAGCGTCACCTAGCGGCGATTTCATTATATGCTCTCTTTAATGCGTGTTTCGTATGTAACGATGTCAATTTGCCTTAAAACGGTGTTTTCAGGCTGTAGGATTGCACTTTTGCCCCAATTCAAAGGGATGAAGATATGATATAAATCGCCAGTTCCCCGTTTTTCAAAAGTTTAGTTTTTCCAAATATATTAACGAAAATCTCAACTGATTGAGTAAGTCGTTTTCAAAGGTATACGTATTACGTACGAAATGTACTTTCTATTTAATTCTATCAATTGCTGTAAGAGCTGGTTGTTTTGTCACGGACTTCATAATCATCTAATTAATAATTTTATGGAACAATGTAGCAATTGGCCAATGTACGAAACTCGAAAGTAAGTTTTTTTTGGTTTTTCATTTAGTTGATTTTATAAGCTAGGACAATGGGAACAATTCGGTCGGTGATATTCCCTTTAGTTCTGGCTTTCCTTTATCCTGCCAATTGTGCAAACGGCTCACGCATCTTTCAACTGACTACCAAAGTGCAGCTCTTTTTACGCAGCAATTCTTTGGACGAGCTCTTGGGCAAAAGTACGATTTCCTCGGTTGTCTATTTCACCCAAGCCGATACGGCGGACAGGAGGGATGGCATTGATCTGATTTCTCCCATCCTCGTTGCCCTAACCGATTTACCACGTCTCTTGGACATTTTCCACATCAACTGCAATAGGTCGGTAAACAAAAAGGACTGTTCAAATTATGGCTTCAAGATGCCGGGACTTCGATTCTTCCCCAATGGGTTCAAACGCACGGAAATGCAGGTTGATAAGGTGAAAGGTTTGGAAATCCCGAAAAAATCAATTTATGAAATGCGGGAAGCTGTTCTGAATGCCCTGACGCGGGTTGAACTGAAGCTGCCCGGCCAACCCAACTTTAAGCCCGTTCTCCAGACGGATACCATAGCATCGCTCTTTAGACAAGCGGCCAGCAAGGATATAACCCACATAGTTCTAGTTGGTCTGTCCAAAAAGGGATCGTTACTGGGGCGTAATACTATTTTGAACCTATTAAAATGGAAACAAGTAATGGTGCGCATCGCGGATAATCCCACAATCTTTCGAAACTTTGGCATTCATTTTAAGGCGAAGGATAAAATGCTGGTCATTATCCCCAGGTCGCGGAGGATTTTACAGTTGAATGCTAGATACCCTTTTGGAAGAGAGTATGCAAAGGCCGTAATTAATTTTATTAAAGGGTAGCTCGAGATAAAACACTTGCCTTAAATTGTATATATAAATAAATGGATTTGATGCGGTAAAACTTAATTATTTAAGGTAATTTAACTTAAAGAGTAACAATGGGTTAAATACCGCAATTCTGAACTCTTTAGTTCACCAAGTTAGTAGTCTTAATAAGTCATGAAAAGTCCGGAGAAAATGCAAATAGTAATACTTATGGCCATCGTAATACTGCTTCCAAAATGCTGGATTGCCCAGGCCGAGGGCGCTCAAATCCTTCGAGTGCTGCCCAAAGGAAAGTTTTCGTGGATCAACAAGAGTTTGGACGAGCTTTTGAGCCAGAGTCCAGTCTCCGCCGTTGTCTACTTCAGTCAATCCAAATTGATAGACGAGGAGAATGGCGGCGCTTTGATGGCCGATTTTCTCAATTCCCTAACTAATTTCCCCCGTCTCTTGGACGTTTTCCTAATCAACTGCAAAAGGCCGATAAACAAGAAAGACTGTGCAAACTATGAGTTTAAGGAGCCCGGTCTTCGTTTCTATCCCAGCAAATTTAAGCGCATTGATGAGAGGAACAACAATAGACCAACTTATAAAGGGATTGAAATCCAAAAAGAATCTTCTCGTAAAATGCAAAATTCTGTTTTGAAAGCTCTGGTTTCGATTAAGCTGAAGTCCCCTGGAGCTCCAAATTTCGAGCCCATTCTCAGCACGGATACTGTAGCATCGCTCTGGAGGAAGGCGGCTTGCAAATGCATCACCAGCATCGTTTTGGCCGATCAATCCGAAAGAGGGTCGACTGTGGGCCGAGATACATTGCTGGCCCTGCTGAAAAGGGAGAAAATAATGGTGCGCATCGTGGACAATGCCACTTTCTTCGGCAATTTTGGCCTCAGATTCTTGAGAAAGGATCATAAACTGGCCATTATCCCTCGGTCGAGACGGGCCATTAAACTGTATCCGAAGAGTGCCAGTGGAACATCATTTGCAAGTGCTGTTATTACATTCTTGAATGAATATGTTTAAGTTTATGTGTTTCATTTTCCACACTGGGGGTATCCATAAAATCTAAAGACTTATAAAAGGGGATAGCATACCTATCAGAAACAAAAATTCAAAAGAATCAAACGGATCGAAGAATAGAACCTCTTAGATATTTTTCTCTCTACCTCAACGTTGCCTATTTGGCCCTTCGATAGTGACATGAAAATTGCATATAAATTTGCTAAATTAAGCGTTTAGATTAAATGAAGCGACAATGTGTATGCGTGCGTTCGCCCACCCACCCATCAGCCATCACTCACACCCACCATCTCCCATTGAAGGACCATTTAGGTCCTGCCAGGGGCCAAGCAAGTCAACTGACCTGGGCTCAGGCAACCTCAACGGCAAAGGCAACGGCAACGGCACTCGTATTACGCCGATTACCCGCACATCAAACTGAACTGTACATGAATTATTTATAGAACATTTTTGCAAAATATCTACGCACTAATTTGCGTAAAGTAATCGATGTGGTGGAAAAATTTTCACGCATGCACACCTGAGGGGAGGCCACCTGACAAACGGACTGACTTATTCGGCGCGGAGTGGGTATCCTCCATCGCGGAGGTTTAGTCATGCCCAAATAAGCAACAGCAAGCGGAAGCTAAAAATTACCAGATAGCCCCTAACCCCGTTACCCCTTACCATATGCATATGGAGCCCCCAGTCCGTTGGCGGAACGCCCACAAAACTTTCTTCATTGTGCGTAAATTGGCACCCCGCAAACAACCACCCCAAATCCCCCAATCCCTACCGCATAAAAAGAGTTAACGCAGTCAGTCACTCTACGGCCCTACGTAATGATGTGTATGTAAAATTTATAATATACATAAATAAATAAAATGCACGCAGTTTGGGATTTGTGGGCGGGGCAGTGTGCAGTTTATCGATATTTTTGCACTCACCCATCGATGGAAAAGTGAGGGGTGGGTAGCAAAAAACACAAAGCACAACTGTACTTTGCTTTGCCTTGCTTTTGATTTTTGTGCGTGCCCCAGGAAATTGAAGGTTCCGCGAATAGTTCTCGAGGCCTTTCGCGAGTTAGGCCGTAAATTTTCGACCATATCTTGGCACCGGAAACCGGAAACCAGCGCCCATTTGAACGAATAGCATTGCCATTCCATCCATCTTTCTGTTTAGGGCCCAAATCGCTGCGTAAAGTGCGTAAAATATGGACAAAATGTATGGCGGCCCCCTAATGGAAAACGGATATTGTGGCTTTTGTCTTGTCTAGAAGAGGGGAGATGGAGCTAGATCCTTGGCCAGCACAGAGGAAGTGCTCTAATTGGCCCCGAAAAGATTTGCATAACGTAATTGCCAGCCAGGCAGAGATCGCGACTTGGCATGACTGGGCTGGGCACATGCATTAACCAAAAACAATAACCCCGGCCAGAATTATGCACAAATTATTGTTTAGGCATTTAAATTGCCGCAACAGTAGCGGCAGAAGAAAATAAAATGGAAAAAAAGGGTTACGAGAAGCGAAAACAATAAAATGCCAGCTGAAGAAGCATCATCAGTGGAGGCAGCTCGTTGTTATAATTATGTAAAAACAGTCTAAAGATTGACTTGACTTCTATACCTTCTATACCCACCGCACACACACACACACCCCTGCACCTGAGTGTGCATGCGAAGGCAGCATAAATTTAGTGGCATGCAGGGAAAGGGGGGCATTGCAACAACAACCTGGTAATTATCAGGCCTTAGCGGCAAGCAACATTGTCTGTGTATCTTGGCGCTACCGTTCGCTAGCCACCCCCACCCGCTGCCAACCGAGCAACCCCCTCACCCTCACAATTCGCACGCAAAAAATGTAAAGTGAAAATATTTTTAAGGCACTTGTAGGACAGTGCAGGTGGGACGAGGAGCGGCACCATCAAATGGGTGGGTCCCATTTTGCCGTTGGCTGTCGAGTTCCCCACCCCCTCCACCTCATCGCGGCCCACTCCATGTTCTATGCCGAACTTGAGCATTTTTCTATGTAGCTACATATAATTAAAAATAATATGAATAGAACAGAACTGAACAGAAAAAAAAACAAGAGAGAACGTTATAGTCGGGTGCCCCGACTATCAGATACCCGTTACTCAGGTAAAGGGAGAGCGAGGGAGATGGAGATAGAGATAGAAAACGTTGATCACGCATAACTTTTTAACGAATGGTCCGATTTGAAAAATTTCTTCTACATTTCGATAGGTATTGATAAACACAATAAAACTGCATTTTTACTTTTCCAAAATATTAAAATTTTTAAAATCGTATATAAGCGATTGTGGGCGTTAGAGGGGGCGTGGCACCATTTTGAAATAAACTTGCACTGCGTAGGAACTCCTAAAATCTGCATGCAAAATGCCAATCTTCTAGCTTTTATAGTTTCTGAGATCTCACCGTTCATACAGACAGACAGACGGACAGACGGACAGACGGACAG